CTTGCGGTATACGAGCCAGCCCGTAGTAACACCCGCAACGAGACCAATGAAGATGGAAACGTAGGATAGAGCTTTAGTGCTAGGATCCATTTTGCCTCCACTCTCAGCAATCTTCTCGAGCTGGCTGCCGATGAATATGTGTAGCATCAACTTTGGTGATACAATGGCTGTGGCTAGAGCGTATGATGCCCAGTGTACGGTGGGGAAGGTTGCGACAGCGCCGTTGGAGATGGAGTATGGTAGCGGACATAAGCGGTACATGACGAGGAGTTTGAGGCCATCGTGTTTGAGGGTGAGGGAGAGGGCAGCGAAGCGCGTATCATTGGCTATGAGTCGGTGGACCATAGACTTGAGGAGGGTGCGTGAGAGGAGGAAGGATGCTGTGCTGCCGGCGACGGTCGCAGTCGCGGCTATGAACCAACTGGTCTAATGTTAGATTGCATGTTGTGAACGACGTGTGAAGCATACCCGTTTGGAAAGCCATAGACAAAGCCGGCTATGGTGAGTAAACTCGAATACCCGATTAATGGCGGAAATGATACGATGAAGATCAAGACCCAGAGGATCAGCCATCCGGCCGTGACGTCTCTCCACTTCTTCGCGACAGGCAATAGGGCCCCGAATATGCGCTCGTTGTACACCAGGAACAGTATGCCGCCCACTGCCAACACCAAGTTCCCTACGAAGAACAGCACTTTCTGCAGGGGGGAAAGTTTGTTATATTGGTCCAGGACTCGTCGCGAGAGTGTATCGTACTTGTCCATGGCGCGCTGCCGCCATGAGCTCTGTTGACTGTGGTGCGATGCGTTGCGCCGGAAGGTAGATGATTGCGGACGTCGGCTCCATATTGGAGTCTGACCTGTTTCCTCATCGTCTAAAGGGAGCGCAAGAGCGCGGACGTCATAATCGCTCGCTGGCATGTTGATGGATGCCTCTATACGATACGGGGAGGTGCGCCTAACGGAGTGGCGCGGAAGTATGCGGAGGTAAGAGGATGTGAATGCGGTAGGGAAGTGAATAGAAAGGTAATGGGAGATGCTAGCTGATACAACTGGAGACGGACATTCCGCGTGGTGGTAGTGGAGCGTCGGAGGCAGCTTTGGTGTGAGATGCTAATGCTAGTGTGGTGTGGGCGCTGTTGGAGAGCTCTGGGTTTCATCGTCATCCGGGCGGACGAACGCGGTGCATCCGCCATGGATCCGCCCTGCATTAGGCGATTAGATCAGATCGGCCCCGAGTTGAAAAGCAGTCTTGCTCGGCATGCGCGTGGGACAACTATAATTCGATGATTGCAAGTCAACCTGGCAAAACACTTAACACCCTGGAGCCTACGTTGACGTTAGGTTACCCACTTTGCAGGTTTTTGTCGTGATGTAGTCCGCAGACCTGTTCAAGTTGTTTCGTGTACAAGGTCATTGCAACATTGTATGCGCATATACTGTGTGTGACATGTGCTCTGGTCATGTTAGAGTCAGTTAGACAGCTCCGAGCAACCTACAACGTACTGCATCCATGGATGTTTCCGCGGACCCACACAACGCAGAGCACGTGATTACTCAGCCTCTCGCAGTCTGTGGCGCCCATAGCCCTATTCGAAGGTACTTGAGGCATATGTTGCAGCTTGTTTTTCCGCCGACGAATGCCATCGCAGCACTTCTTATCCAGCCCCAGTCGTCATCATCCTCGCTCAGCTGAGACGCACACGCACCGCATCACCACCCGCTCGAGGCTCCAGGGCCATGTAGGGCAGACCGGGAGCAAGTGCTGGAGATTACCGTTCCCGCTGTATGGTCGACGTTGCTGCACGGTGCAAGCATCCCCCACCCCTACGTAGTTGAGCCTAGTCCCTTGAGCTTCATTCGCGCTCGAGATCGCCCCAGGCATTCCATCACTCTGCCCGTTTTGGCGCACTTGGTGTGTCCTGCAGAAGAAGGCTGCGGGACTGGTTATTGTCCTTCGTTGCAGCTTCATTCCTCCTGTGACGCGCCGGTCGCTCCTCTGCCATTACCCGCAGTACTTGTAATCACCCCCGACGGCCTCCTGTCTCGACCTGGACCCCGACCTCTGACCTCTGACCTCACCCGTCCTGCGCGCCACACCCGAACACCCATCGCCCAGTATCCTTTGCCCGCTTGGAAGTAATCGCCATGGTCGCCGACGACTTGTACGAGAAGGCGCTGCCTGTGCTGCAGGACGAGGCCCTGGATGAGGAGGACAAGACGGACAAGCTCGAGGAGCTGATGCGCAAGGAGACCAACCTCACGGGCAAATCCCTCGAGAACATCGTCCTGGACTGCCTCTGGCGCTATCGCGACGCCGGCAGCTCGTCCAGCTCTCCCCCCAGCCGCCATACCATCATCCGCCGGCCCTCGCCAGCTCCCTGGCAGGCCAATCGCGCCCCTACTCCTGTCAACGCCTCGCCGCGCATGGTGCACCCTCCGCCGGGCTTTCCCATGCCACCTGGATTCGCGCGCACAAAGTCGTCCACCGCGTCCCCCTTTACTTCCCCGCGACCCTCGCCTCGCCTTGCTTTTTCCACACCGCATATCCCCCACAGCCCCAGCCTGAGCGCATACCAGTTCAGCGAATGCGCAAGTCCCAACACCGAGTCGTATGGCGACCTCGATGGCCACTCCGTCGACTGGCTAGTCAACGATGACGCTGCGAGCACTGAATCGTCTCTCCTGGGCGACGGCACGCTCAACGGTGCCGCGGCCGAATGGGTGCAGCCCCAGACCATGGACATGGGCCCATACGACATGCTGCGCTCGATCCTCAGGGACGACCGATCAGACGAAGAGCTAGAGAAAGTCTTAGAGGCCAATGGCTACGACCTCAGCGCCGCTCTCCTCGCACTCATGGGACAGCAACTGGACGTACAACAACTCCCTACCACACCCTCCGAACACCCGGGGTACGTCATCGGAAAGTCCATGAGTCCGGCATTCAGGCCCAGTACACCCGTGGGCCAGCAGAAGAGCAACATTGTGTGCAAGTACTTTCTGTCAACCGGACATTGCGCCCGAGCAGACTGCAGATTCAGCCATGACACCAGCAAGACGTTGTGCAAGTAGGTATATATACAGCTCTCTAGGTAGTCCAGGCTAATACCCAACACAGGTACTTTCTGAATGGCAACTGCCTAGCTGGCGATACATGCCTCTTCTCACATGACCCCTCTGCGCTCATGGCTCGTATGGCTGTGTCGGACGTCCAAACTCCACCAATACCCAACTTCCAGATGTCCGATTATGAGTTTCCCACCCTCCACTACAACGGCTCTCCGCTAGGCACACCGTCGATAACATCAGCCGCGACCTCTTTGGAACAGCTCTACGGTCTGACAGGTGGTGGCCCCACACGCCCTCCACCAGGACTGAGTCCTTTTGCAAACTTCACTCCCGGAGGCGGTAGTCGCCCGCAGTCTAGAACCGGCAGTCGCCAGACTTCGCGTGCCACCACACCTTCTGTGCTCGCAGTCGACGATAACGACGCTTTCCCTAGCCTGGGTTCCGCTGCTGCTGCTAAGACTGGAAAGCGTCACCACGGCAAGCGAGGTGGACATGGCCATCACAAAGATGCTCCAGGACCTAACAATCTTGCAGATGTCGTTCGCATGTCGCCTGTTCCGGCTCCTGCCACTCCGGCTCGCAAGGGACTGAGATCGACTAAGAGCTTCACAGGATCTCGCGAAAACAGTGTGGCTGCCCAGGCGATACCTGCTCCTCAGCACATCCCGTGGTTGGAGACCGGTGAGAAGGGCAATCAGGCTTATCTCAAAGCTCGCGCCGAGGCTTTCAAGCATGGCAGTCTGCGCAACAAGTTTTTGCAGAGGTAAGAGGCATGCCTCGTCCTACGAAATTCCACCGCTAATATACAACAGTGCTGCTCAAGCTTGGAACCGCAGCGATTCGCGCGCGGCTAAAGCTCTTAGTCTTAGGGGGCAGAGTGAGAACAACCTGATGCGTGAAGCTCACCGTGAAGCTGCTCGTATCCTTTACGAAGATCGCAATAAGGACAGCGACGGCTCGAGAGAGCTGTATGTTGATCTTCACGGTACGTCGATATAGAGTGTTTGTTTATACCGAGACTAACGTCACCCAGGTCTGCATCCAGATGAGTCGGTTTCGTATCTCGAAGGCATCCTTCTAAAGCACAGCTCTTCTTCGCGTCCAGTCTACGCTATTACAGGAACAGGTCACCACTCCAAGAACGGCAAGGACAAAGTTGGCAAGGCTATTCGCGGCTTCCTCAACGAATGGCGCTATGCCTTCCGCGAATTCTCTGTCCCTGGTGACCGCAACAACGTAGGTGGCATTCTTGGTATCGACCCGAGTAGCTACGACAAGAGTGTGGCGGAACGGCCAAAGGAATCTGAATCGGATGGAGATAGCGCAAAGAAAGACACGAAGATTCGCATCATGAAGAGAGATGATGTAATAGATGCGCCGAAAGGACCGAAGCGTACTGCTTGATCTGATTGAGTGGAAGTGGGGTGTGCCCAGTAGGTAGCATGAAATAAGAAAGAGTTTACTTCATTAACTGTCTTCTGATCTGGTCTTCGTTAAGGCGTTGCGGTTAATGTGTTGCCGCACCACGTTGAAAAGGAACCTTTGCAGGTGCGCTGCAGTCTACGTTGTTATCAGAACGGAAGTCAGCAAACTATTAACTTGATGCAGATTTCCAGGTTGTTTGCTTCTATTCACGTCTATAGGTGGTGTCCAGTCTATCCCTTGATGGGGTGGTGGAGATGTGCCAGCTCGGTGAAGCTGCTCGACTGAGGAAGCCACACCCAACCTCGTGCCTGCTTCTCTCGTCTGGACCCACCATCGCGTCGCGAATATCGCCTCTCATCTTACGGCGCACACAGCCAGTCATTCTCGTCACCTCTCATGTAGCGGTCAGCGTTTTCTACCTGGCCTCACCGGCAACATCACCTACCCTCATCACCGCATCGTACTAGCTAACGCATTATCGTCACTGATTCGCATCCCCTCGCAATGGGTCCCAGAAGACCTAGTTCGGCGACAGATGTCGACTCACGTATGCCGTTCGCATCGGCGGAGGCGCTGCTATGGGGGCCAGAGATGAAACAACAGCACGCCCACCTGCTCACGGAGATGCGAACACTTCAGAAGCATCATGAAGAATACGAAGCCCGCATCAGATCTACCGAACACGTTGCAGAGGCTGCCGAAGCTGCTACGTCGAGGGTCCGACACTTGGAGCAACAACTCGCAGCGATCGAAGCCGAAGATGACGACAAGGCTTTCGAGAAGTGGGCAGCAGGCGAGATGACACGCCTCGGCATCTTCGTCGACACGAACAAGCACGTCAGGCAGAAGCAGATCGAGCTGGATAATGTCGTTTCTCATGCTCTGGACGATCTCGACAAGCTCAAACAGGTCCCCAGGGAACTGAAGGGTGTTCTTCGACGTCTTGATCTTCTCGAAGCTGGTCGTAATCAAGACGCGCATCGGATCAAGAGTTTAGAGCAAGAAGTCACCCGGCTCAAATCTACGCGGCAGGATCCCAAGTCCAAGTCCAACACCGCTGGCCCACAGACCGTTTCTAAGCCTCAGCATGGCATGCTGAGATCCATGACACCGTCTCAATTACTCAACGCCGGAACTTCAGAAGTAACAAGTGACACGGACGATGAAGACCTGATACTCATGCCTGGGTTTGCACGTGAAGAAATTCAAGTACCCCGGAGTCCAGAAATGAGAGAAAGGTAAGAGCGGCCTTCGGAACGACCTTTTGTAACGCTAACGACTATTGCAGGGGACCAGTCGATGCGTCTACTTCAGCTGTACCTCCAGGTCATCCAATGAAGTCAGCAAGGCAGAGACTGATGCAGAGACCTTCGATCCACAACTCTATGTTGCCACATTTGGTAGAGGAACAGAGACAAATCCGAACACCTGCTCCAAAATCGAGTCAATCAGTATATGCTGCTCCAGTTGCGACCCAGCTGGTCCACCAAAACTACCCGACTTATCCTTCGCCCCCGGCTCCGGTCCCAGCCCCAGCCCCAGTGCCGGTTCCTACGCGAAAGCCTCGCCCACGTGCCAGAGTCGCCCCGCCTCCAACACAGCTGACGGACAAGACCATCACACGGAAGCGAAAGCAGCCTACAAAGGAGCCCCACACTCAAAGGCTGACTCGCGCTCAAGCCAAGAAGATTCAAGAACAGGATGCTGAAGAGCGAAAGCCGCATGTGACAGGTAGCGAATCACTCCTCCCACCAACACAGTTGGTCGAGCCAGCTCTTTCATTGCGCAAGAAGCAAAAGACTGCCCATGATCAAGGATCAGACAATATCAAGGCCACATCCAGCACAGCGATACGTCCCACTGGCAGAGCTCCAGCAACCGCAAAGCGCAATGCTGCTGCAAATCAAAGCAAAAACGCGGCGATTGAACCCACTCAGTTGGTTACGAGAAGTCCTGCCAAGTCGAACATACCTAAAGCCACCACTTCTCCTGCCAAGAGGAGGAACCCCTCGCCAGTTCGACCGAGCGCTGTAAAGGGGGGGCAACAGAAGTCACTCGTTGTCATTCTACGCAGCCCGCAGAAAGCGACGGGGACTGAACGTAGCGAGAGCGATGACATGCATACCACTATAGCAGACAGAGCTAAGAAATCACCTCGCAAAGCAGCAGCAGCGCCACTGTCACGTTTGAAGGCCATTCCTAAGCCTTCGAGCTCGCGCAATACGGGCAGCCGAGTTGAGCTAGCTGTTGGGTCTGGTACTAGAAAGAATCCTCTTAGGACGAAACAAGAGATACCGGAACTCGATGATTTTTGGTATCCATCGGAAGCAAACGAGCCTCATTGATTGTCCTCGATTAGGGGACCGACACTATGTCTCGCTGAACTCGTACAAGCCCTCGCGATCCGCAACTGGCACCTCCAAACTGGCCTCTTCAATATCTTTTCCATCGACCTTCAGCCCTGCACGCATAACGTCACCCGTCTTCACTGGGCCCACACCCTTGGGGGTTCCCGTCAGTACGATGTCGCCCTTCTCCAGTGTCATGACCCTGCTAATGTCGCTCAGCTGTCTTGGGATCCGGAAAAGCATCAGCTCAGTGTTGTCGGACTGCTTCATCTCGTTGTTGACTGAAAGCCAAAGGTGTGCTTTCTGTGGGTCTGGGATTCTGTTTTTCGCGATGAAGTTGCTGATGGGCATGAACGTGTCGAAACCTTTTGCGATAGACCATGGGAGTCCTTTTCTTTTCGCCTCGTCCTGCACGTTACGAGCTGTCATATCGATAGCGAGAATGTAGCCTGGGTCGTGAATGTCAGTCGGATGGATCTCGATATACTGTTATATCTGGCTGGATGTATGGCGTTCTTAGTACCTTCGATAGCATCCATAGCACCCTTAGTATCTTCAGGATGCAGATCCCTCAATGTCTTTCCCATGATAAGTCCAAGCTCAACCTCATAGTGCATGTTTACACCACGTGGGCGTAGGACTGGGCCAGCGCCTGGCAGCAAGATGGACGACGGTGGCTTCAGAAAGAAGAAGGGCTGCTTAGGCGTAGCACTGGACAGCTCCTTGATGTGGTCTGCATAGTTTCTGCCTATGCACATGACCTGTCACATGTTAGATTGCACGAAGAGCGTCTTTGCCAAATGTCTTCCTTCCAAGGTTCCCAATCTCAACTTTCATAACACGTGTGCCAGAGAGACGACACATGTCTTCACATAGGATGATAAGTGAGCAACTCTACAACTGCAGCCCTCACTTTGACGCGACTTCCCAACTCTTTCTTCTTCTCTTGACCCGTTGATAGCGCGAAAATGACACGAAATCACGTACCTTGCGGCAATTTGCCCGGATAGCTTGGATACTCGCCATAATGATAACCAACAAACGTATTCAAGACAACCCAAAGAAAATCAGGCAGAGATGATTGAGAACTGGAGTCGCGCACCGTCTTCGGCAAAGTATTTAGCCGGCAATTGACGGGAGTTTTAAGCTGGGCCCCTGTCTGCCACGGGGGGCGGGAACCGAGATGTGGGGTGAACGTCAGAGCTTCCAGGCTACATGCATCCCACTTGCGCTCGAATCGCAACCAAACTATCAGAGCCAGCACACGCTGCATTACACAGCTGTTGCCAAACACGACCAAATAGGTTTCAGGTTTCTCGTCAGCAATAGCAGACATGGCGCAAACCCAAGGAAACACAATGCAACTCGCGGAAATACTATCCGACCTCGTCTCCCTGCGCGTCTGTGTACGTCACCCTGTCTACACCAGCAAACCTGTACCCTTTCTAACACGAATTCGCCTGTAGGACCCCGCCGCAGCACTCGCCCTCGTATCCGCGCACGCGAATGCCTCTACCTCCACGTCACTCCCATCTTCTCACGATGCCGCCGCAAAGACACCAATAACAGACCCAACAACGACAACAATGGTGGACGAGGAGCAAGACCCAGAGCTGAAGCGCGCAAAAGACCTGCTGAAATTCCATTATGAGGTAAAGGAGGCGCATAAGAGGGGCGAGCTGGGCAGGGGCCTGGAGGAAGCGAGGAGTTTGGTTAGGAAGGCTGTTGGGAGGTGAAGAGGGTTGGGGTTGAGGATGAGATTACAAAATAATGAGTGCAAGCATAGAGAAGTGCTGGGAGGAACCCAGTGCGAGAAGAGGGCACTCTGCGGCGAAGGTTCAGAGCGAGGTATATCTGGCGTCAGGGTCGATAGCAGAGCTTGTGCGTTGGGCATTGAGGAGACGGAAAGGATAGATACGTCAAGACGGAAGGAGACATTGTGGTATCTACATACACGTCACTGCATGTCAGTAGTAACTTCTTGCACGGAGTTGCAGTCTACAAGAAAGAATTTGAACAAGAGACACCAGATGCACGTCTTGTACTGCAATCTACATCGATATATGGGAGGACTTTGTTGAGGGCTCCAGGGAATCGTAGCCGTCTGGGCTACTTTTGCATCAACACAGCAACCTTCTTACACGAGTTGTAGTAGGTAAAGAAGAGCGTGTTAGGATAAGTTCGATCTTTATCATGTACGGTATGAAGCAGAGAAGAGGCGTTGCACGAGAATGAAGACAAGGGTAATGATGAAATTGAGCTACGAGTAGCATCTACATAGGAGTAGGTAGTCAAAGCCAGGTAGAGGGTATCCTTAGGGAGACTTGAAGTTCGCCACCACGATCCAAATACCAATCTTCCAACTCACTTCAAGATCCCGCAGCCGCGAGCATGGCATCGGCAATGGCCTTGACGTCCTCACCAGCCTTCTTCTTTTGGCGGAGAAGCACCATTATTGGGACGGACTCGGGCGGTGCGCGCATCGCTGCCAGAAGCTTGACTTTGTCGCGTTTACGGGTTTTGCTGGTGGATGTTAGTATGAGAGTAAGGGTAGTGTAGTATAGCGATATCGGAGGAGGTTAGTGTACTCACGTGGCAGTAGTGGCTACGGAAGGGGCTGGTGCTTCCGTTTCTGCTACAGACGGTGCCGGTTCCGGCGCTGGCGCTTCCGGAGGCTGAGGAGGCAGGTCTTCGGTCTCTGCGGCAGTGTATGCAGGTGCTGCTTCCGGTTCGGGTGCTACTTCTGCTGGTGCTTCTGGCTCTACTGCCCTAGACACCGGTGCGACCTCAGGTTCAGCAGCCGGTGCTGCCTCGGGCTCTTCCGCGACAGGTGGTGCAGGTGGAGGTTCCGTTGGTGCATCTGGAACTGGTTCAGATGGTGCTTCCGGTTCGGCTGCACTCTCGACAGGCGCGGGCGTAGGTTCAGGCGCGGCAGCTGGTGGTGGAGGCTCTACAGGTTCTGTCTCAACGGGCTCTGTAGCAGGTACCTGCAACGTTGGCTCTGCTTCCGGCTCAGGTTCTGGTGATGTAGCCTCCTCGGGTGTTTCAACTTTGGGCTCTGCAGCTGGTGGCTCTGTTGTCGGCTCCTCGGGGACAGGTTCAGGTGCAGGATCTGCCGAACGCTGGACTGGAGCTGGAGCAGCTTCGGGCTCTTCAGCTGGAGGCTGTGCTGCTGGCTCTTCTGGCGCGGCGTCAGGTGTTGGTTCAGCGACAGGTTCAGACTGCTTTTCTTCAGGGGGCTCCTCTACAGACTCAGGCGGTCCGGTTGCAGCTTCAGGCTCTTCAGCTGGTGGGTCTGCTGCTGGTTCTTCGGGGGCAGCTTCAGGTTCTGTATCCGGCTCAGGTGCGGGATCTGCGGGAGGTTGATCCGGGGCAGGCGTAGCTTCAGGCGCAGCTTCAGGCTCAGCTGCAGGCTCTTCTGGGGTAGCTTCAAGTGCCTCTTCAGCAGGTCCATCAGTCTGAGCTTCACCAGGGCCCTCCTCTGGTGGATTGGGAGGAGGTTCGAAATCAAGTTCCGGCGGTTCTGACTCATCATCTGGCTCAGGTGCAGCTGTATCGGTGTCTTCAGGATTTGGGTTAGGAGGCGGTTCGACAGGCAGTGGTGGTACGGGCCTGCCATGCTGTCCGGGCTTCGCAGGCTTGTGAGGACGTTTGGGCTTGGTATGCTTCTCGGGTTGCTCCACAAGAGGCACGTCCGAAGCCGCAGCTTGGCCCGCCATGACAAGTGCGGATGGAATTAATGATAGACGAGAGATGCTAAGGAGGAGCTATGAGAAGCAATTCGAGCGGTGAGATTGGACGCGGGAGAAAATGGTATGCTGGCCCAGGTAAGTGGATGGTTGTGGCCACATCCTATTTGATCGAGATAGCTTGACTCTGGAACAGAAAGAGAAGCCTTGACCCAAACATCTTGATCGAGTGACGGCAGGAAGAGATGCGTAAATACAGCAAGTACGCGTTCAGCCTTTCCCAACTTGGACTGCTGAGTTTAGCGATCGCGGCCACTGCATGATCGCTTTCGACACGGATATCGAGCGGGTCGAGATTGGCGAGTTCTACTATTTCCGGAGCTCTTACCCTGCCGACTTCGACGAGATAGTAGAGGAGGCTGGAGATTCAGGCGATTTGTCATCTACAACAGAGAGAGCGGGAGCCACCCAAAGACCCGCCTGAGCACAGCGGAGCCGCCTACTTCTTAAAGCCTTAGCTTGTGTTTTGATTCCTGATGGATGAATGGAGTCGATGCCGGAGAAGATCCCTTTTAGGCGATGCGCTTCGTCATCGTTTCCGCGGTGGCTGTGCGACTGATGAGGGAGGTAGCTACTGCCGCTGAGCTGCCATTTGTTAACAAGCAGTTCTATGAGCTGCGCTGGATGAGACTGCGTCTCCATCTAGGCCAGCCGCTGCGGCAGTATCAGCGAGTCTTCCTTGAAGATGCCGCCGTGAGACATGAGGTTGTGTTATTATAAAACGTGCTTACTACGTTCCTAGTGTGCGACTGTCTGCCGGCGGTAGCTTGTATAGATATGCGGTCCGCGCTCTACCTCAAGACATGCAGCACGCATCGCATCTTCAATCTTTGATGTTGTTCGAAGGTGAGTACAGTAGACTCATGGCTATGATAGCAAGGCCTTGTATCTCGAGCGTACCACCTTATTCAAGGAAAACTCTAAACACTGTAGAGCCTACATCAAGATAAAAACATGCAAAGCAGGTAACCTAACGTCAATGTAGGCTCTAGACCTGTTCGGATTTTCTTTTTTATGAGGTGGTACGCTCGCAATAATGCAGTGTTTGCCGCGGATCGCGGTCTGCAGTGTCTGAGTTCAAGATGTGGCAGGGAAAGCGTGAGGGTTGGGACGGGTGACGACAGCGTTAGCGTCGGTCGTACCTGCATGAACGACGTAATTCCCGGAGGGTGCCGCCAAGCCCGCAGATGGGCCCGCCCGAGCTCCAGCTTTCACTGTCGCGAGCTCGTCTTCCCGCACACGCGTCAC